ATTGTATCCCACCTGCTGGACTATAGGCTCATGATTATTACCTTGAATCCTCCCACTATAAATAGAGAGCTCCTCTCTCATTTACGGGATTGACTTATCTTAGTCTAAAACAGCATACACACACACACACTCTCTCTCTCTCTCTCTCTCTCTCTCTCTCTCTCGCTCTCTCTAATATATATATATATATATATATAATATATATATATATTCTCACTAGATTATAACTCAGCTCGCTACATACAACCTGACTGTAACACCTATTAATACAACCACAGTGGACGTAGGAATCGCTTTTGAGCATCTGAACAACTTAAAAAACCGTCTTTTGTTTACTCTCTTGCTACACATTTCCATATCACGTGTAACCTTTAAGCCCGCTTAGCATTTTGCACGTGTGAGTTGTTGGTGTCAAAATCAAGTATCAACAGTTTGGCGCTAGAAGGAGCATATGATTTAGTATCTGCTGTTCATCAGAAACCTCTGACTAATCCGTCCTACCCATCAGCAAATGGCTCGCGGTTTCGAAACTGAGCAAACTAACTTTGACAATGAGGAAATCTCCCAAATACAGCATGACACTTCTCTCAAAGTGCTGCCAGTCCAACAGAGTATCATGGCGGATATTCCTTCAACCTTATAGCTTGACCCAGCCATGATGAGTTACCTGTAGAGGTTCAATAATACTCTCCAAATGGTTAGCCAAAGGCTGGACCGTTTGGATTGGGTCGTGCCGCTAGAGTCCAATGAAGCGGTGCCACTGCCAAAGATGCCTACAAGTCATGCGAAAGCGCAAAAAAGGGCAAAAACCCGTACCTCGAGCACTGTAGTGTGTAAAAGTAAGGGAAAGCAAGTGGCAAGTAGACCAAAAGGCTCCACGGGACTAGCGAACACCGATTGTGCAACGGGCAGAATACCCGTGGCATTGCGACTCAGTGACATGTCGCAGCATGAGCCATCCCACGCCACGTCGCATAGGCACTCCCACAAAAGTGCAAGGTAGGGAGATTCCCAATATTGCCGAAATGACGACCTCGACCGTCGTTATATGGGAAACTCCTGTCATTCGCGGGTCGGTTCAGACCATCAAAGAGATTGAGAAAACTCCTCGAGCCATTCAATGCCTTCACATGACCCCATCCAACATGTGTCAAGGTTTGTTGGAGCTTTCGGTCGAGTTAAGGAAGAGCCCGATTTGCGGTCTTTCCTCAACCGTAACTGTGAGGGTTGAACCCACGTTGCAAAAAGTGATCCCCAGGCAGCTCCACTGCCTCAGATTGAGGAATCATAGCAACCTTTGGATCAACTCAAGGCTTAACAGAATGAGCATGGAAAGGTCACAGAGGCGTCTCCCTTTTCCCCAGTAGTTTTAGCTGCTCCTCTCCCATCAAGATTCAGAATGCCTGACATGCATGCATTCTATGGGAATTCAGATCTGCAGGATCACCTTTATAAGTTCAACGACCTCATGGAACTCTACCAAGTCTCTGACTTGGCCAAATGTCGCTGCTTAGCAATAACCCCTGGTTTAGGTCACTTCCCGCGGGATCAAATGAGCTCATCATTCTTAAGACATTCTAGGCAAATAGGAAGTTCTCAATGTTGTTGAGCTACCTGAGCAACATACGGTAGGAGAGGGATGAATCACTCCAATCTTTTATAGACAGGTTCCATAGGGAGCTTCACAAAGTGACTCATACTCTCGAGGAGTCCGTTCGGACTCTTATTATCGCGGGGGTTCACCCGCAGACAGATTTGTGGAAGAAATTGTAATCTGAGGATGATGTTTCCCTCACTCATTTCTATAACCTCATTGAGAAATACCTCCAAATTGAAAATTCGGTGGCCGCTCTTAATCGCCACGGCCTCGGTCCCTTGACTAGTGCTCTCGACCGGGGGGAGAATAGTAGAAGGTTTAATCGTAGATGGGCTAATGATGATCAGCGGAAAGGAAAGAAGCAGCGATTGAGCCCAAGACTTATGCCCCGGTTCCTTGTCGTGATCGCGACAAAAATTAATATACTCCTTTGAATGCCTCAATGTCGGCGATTCTGGATAAGTCAGAGAAGGCCAACCTACTCAGAGAGCCAGAGCCCATGAAGAATCCCCCCTCAACTAGAAACAACAAAAAATATTGTCGCTATCATCAAGATAACGGGCATCACACCGATGAGTGTCAAGCTCTCAAGCAAGCAATCGAAGACTTCATCAAGCAAGGATATTTCAAAGAGTATGTCGATGGTCCAACTCCCGTTCGGGAAAAGGATCAAGAGGAACAAGGGAAAAGTGTCATGGTTGCAAGGGTCTCTACTGTGTAGGGATCATCTTTGGAGAACTGCACCTCGCCGGGAATTCTCGAGATGCCCAGGAGAGGTATGCACAGGAAGCCCATCTTGACCCTGTGAGTATAATGAGCACGGTGTCGCAACCCACTAATGTTCGCCGGGAAGAAGAGATTACCTTCTCTGAGAAAGACACAGTGCGATTGCATCATCACCATGAGGATGCACTCATCATCGCGCTTGAAATAGGTCGGTGCGCAATCCACAAAATATTGGTGGACAGTGGAAGCGTTGTGAATATCCTGTTTCAGCGAGCTTTCGAGAAAATGCAACTTGACGAGGTAGACTTAAAGCCTGCCTCTATCCCTCTCTATGGTTTTACCGAGGATCATCTGATTCCTAGGGGAATGCTTTCACTCTTGGTCATATTGGGTGAAACCAACGAAATGACCAAAATGAAAAAAATTTTAGTGATAGACTGTCCGTCCGCCTTCAATGGGATTTTGGGACAACCTTTACTGAGAAATTTCAAGACAGTCACCTCCATCTATCATCTAAAAATGAAGTTCCCCACCCCGACGAGGATCGGGGAAGTAAACGGATCTCAACATGAATCCCGCGATTGCTACATAAGAGCAGTGTAGATGGCATGCAAGGGAAAATGAAGGCCAATAGGCATCCCTGAGCAGGCTCTGGTGATCAGCAAGATCTAGCTACAACCCGACCCATTAGAGGATAACATGGATCCTCGCATCCAAGAGTGCCCTCACAGTGGGCCAATTGAGGACTTATCTAAGGTGTCAGTTGATCAAAATGAGCTAACGCGAGTGTTGAGAATCGGGAGTAATCTCAACCCTCAGCTCGCCAAAAACCTGACAAGCTTCCTCAGAGAGAATGTCGACGTTTTTGCATGGACTCGTGCTGACATTATCGGGATCAACCCGAATGTCATATGTCATGCACTAAACATTGATAGTGCGATCAAGCTGGTTTTCCAAAAAAGAAGAGCAATGGACCTGGAACGCTATGCTGCTTTGAAAATTGAGGTAGATAAGCTCATTTAGAATGGATCCATTCGAGAAGCGCTTTACCTAAGCTGGATTGCAAATCTGATCTTGGTAAAGAAGCCCAATGACAAGTGGCGAACCTGTGTTGACTTTACCAACCTCAACAAAGCTTGTCTGAATGACAGTTTTCCCTTGCCAAGGATCAACCAGCTTGTCAATGCCACCTCTAGGCATGGCCTGCTAAGTTTTATGGATGCCTACTCGGGATATAATCAAATTCTGATGTACACATCGAATGAAGAGCATACCTCGTTTATTACAGATTGAGGACTCTATTATTACAAGGTCATGCCCTTCGGCCTAAAAAACGTTGGGGCAACTTACCAACTATTGGTTAACAATATGTTTTTCGAGCATATCAAAAATTAATAGAAGTCTATGTTGATGACATGTTGGTCAAGTCGCATGTTGCTTTTGATCACATAACACATCTCACTGAGATGTTCGACGTACTCTGAAGGTACATAATGAAGCTCAATCATCTTAAATGCTCATTCAGAGTATCCTCGGAAAAGTTCCTGGGGCATATGGTTAACTAGAGGGGAATCAACATCAACCTCAAGAAGATCCAAAATCTCCTTCATATGAAAAGCCCGACCAACAGAAAACAAGTTCAGAGCCTAAATGGGAGAATAACGGCTCTTAGTCACTTCATATCGAGAGCAACAGATCGTTGCTTGCCATTTTTTAATATACTCAAGGCTGACAAGAAGTTTGAATGGAATCTAGAGTGCGAGCAGTCTTTTTAGAGTATAAAAGAACACCTCGAGTCACCTCTCTTGTCCAAGCCTCTTCCTATAGAAATTCTACTCTTGTACCTATCCGTCTCTTAGCATGCTATCAGTAGACCTAGCAAAACGAGTTCAGACCCGCGGGTTGGCCCATACCCGGGTAAAAAATATAGGACATGGGTTTAATACATTGGACCCGTTTAATTTCCACCCGTACCTGGACCGACCCATTTTTTGACGGGTTACACGAGTAAACCTGCGAGTGCTCGCGGGTACCTGTTTTTTTTCAAAGCTGAACCCTAAGTCCCTAATCCACTAACGCCACCGAACTCTAAAACAAACTTTCTCTTCTCTCTCGTGCTCTCTCAATCTCTCATCTCATCACTCTGTTCAGTGTTCATTTCAGTAGACTCTCATCACTCATCACTGCCATAATCAGTCATCACTGTCATCATCAGTCATCACTCTCATCCGTGAACCGTCATCCCATTCCCAGACCCACCATCGCTGATAGTCGTCATTCATCCTCGTCGGCTAGTCATCTCTCTCTCTGTCATCATCGGGCGTCGGCTCGTCATCTCTTGTCTCTCTCCATCGCAAGACTCCATCATTAAGGGTATGTAGTATGTACTTGTGTAAAAATGTTCAAATTTCTGAGTTTTAGAGCTAAACTAGATGTTCTTAGATGTGAGACTCCATCCTGAGACCTTGATTAGATTGGTCTGAGGCTCTGAGCAGATGTTTGGATAGGTTGTGATTCTTGTGCTGATAACCAAAATCCTTGTGATAGAGTAATTGTTTTGTTCTTTGTTGATAATATTGGGTGTCAATTTATAAGGACTCAATATTTCATGTTTTTACATGTTTTACACACTCTATCCTTCTTCTATGTATTTTTTTTTTAATTTATTGGTTGACATGCTTATATGCAGCCCGGCAGTGGAGTTTATACAGTGGGTGATTTCATGACTACGAAAGAGGATTTGCATGTTGTAAAACCTGCAACTTCTGTAGATGAAGGTATTTTATATGTTTAGATTAATGTCTCAAATGACAGATTACGGTAATTTTTTTTTTTTCCTTTTTTCTTTCTTTTGGTTTTCTAATACATTTATTCTTTGTGGCAACAGCTCTGGAAATTCTTGTGGAAAAGAGAATTACAGGTTTTCCTGTGATTGATGATGACTGGAAATTGGTAAGTTTTCCTTACCTTATGTTGTTAGTTTAATCTTTTTATGTGTTAGGCTTCTTTTATTGGTATTGATTGTGAGTTTAGTTTTGGTGTATAATTCTTGTCAACTACTAATCTGTTTTGATGATTTTCTAAGTCTTTAAAGTTCATCAATTTTTGCAAACACATTTTTTTTAATAATATTTTCTAATTAATTGTGTACCCGCCCACCTGATCCACACCCATACCTTCCCCACACAGAAACTTAAATTAGTTAAATCCCTCACTGAGGTTGATATGAGGGGGATTTGTTCATTGGACTTCGTTGCTTCCACTATGACATATCTAACCAACTGGTTATCTGGTGGTCTGTGATCTGAGGATCATGTGTGGGTAATTTGAAATAACAACCAAGAAGACAACTGTTTTCTTCAAACTATGCCTTTTTCCTTCCACCATACAGCTAAGGATGTAATCACTTTTCTGTAACCCATTCAGCATAATGGAATAAACATACTGTCTTTAAAATTAGGCATAAATATGTTTATTTTAAAACCTATAAATTGTTGAGATTATCGATTCATAGAGAGAAACCCACCATCTTGCCTGTTGGGGGATGTTCCAGAGTTCAGCTGTTGGGGGAGAACCACCATCTCTCATGCTTACTATGGAAACTTATCTAGTTCAGAATTTAATAGTTCTGGGGTATTTATCAAATGTTATGTGTTTTCTTCTCAATAAGTTCTTTTCCTTTTCTTTTAGAGAGGAAAAAAAAATTATGTTTCTTTGTATGTCTTGTTTTAAATTGTTCATTTTTTATGTGAGATGATGTGGGAATAATTTAACTTTTGGCTGTTGCAGGTTGGTCTTGTTTCAGATTATGACCTCCTAGCATTGGATTCTATATCAGGTATGCTAAATTCATCAAAATCATCTTTTTGTGTCAAATCTCCTCAGAAAAGTCTCATAGGTTTTGGCTTTTTCTCTTTCATATGCTCTGTGTTTAATCAGTATTACTGTTTATTTTTATTTTTATGTTCTGCTGGGAATCAGTAATACTTTTTATGAATTTTTTATAAACACTACATTGCAAAAAGTAGGGGTTACAATAGTCAGTTNTTAGGCTTCTTTTATTGGTATTGATTGTGAGTTTAGTTTTGGTGTATAATTCTTGTCAACTACTAATCTGTTTTGATGATTTTCTAAGTCTTTAAAGTTCGTCAATTTTTGCAAACACATTTTTTTTAATAATATTTTCTAATTAATTGTGTACCCACCCACCTGATCCACACCCATACCTTCCCCACACAGAAACTTAAATTAGTTAAATCCCTCACTGAGGTTGATATGAGGGGGATTTGTTCATTGGACTTCTTTGCTTCCACTATGACATATCTAACCAACTAGTTATCCGGTGGGGACTCTTACTAATTGATGATATCAGATTTTATTTCTCAAACTCCTTACTATTACAGGAGATTGGGCCCACTGGTCTGTGATCTGAGGATCATGTGTGGGTAATTTGAAATAACAATCAAGAAGACAACTGTTTTCTTCAAACTATGCCTTTTTGCTTCCACCATACAACTAAGGATGTGATCACTTTCCTATAACCCGTTCAGCATAATGGAATAAACATACTGTCTTTAAAATTAGGCATAAATATGTTTATTTTAATTGCTATTTTTGGTATTAGGTAATGAATATAAGCATTTAAAAAAGAAATACATAGATGAGTCCTCTGAACGAAAGCGGCTTTACAATGAAGTGATTGAGCTGAAAGGCAATATTAGGGTCTTCTGCCGATGTAGACCTTTAAATCAAGCTGAAATTACTAATGGGTCCAGTTCTGTTGTTGAATTTGACTCTTCTAAAGAAAATGAACTACAAATTGTTTCTTCTGATTCTTCTAAAAAGCAATTCAAGTTTGATTTTGTGTTTAAGCCCGAGGATAATCAAGGTAATCCCTGATCTCATGAATGATTTTTACAATGCAAAGCAATTGCTATAATGGATATTGAACTGTTTAAATATTTAATCCTGGGTTTCTAATATATGCAGAGGTTGTTTTTGCACAAGCTAAACGTATTGTGACTTCAGTACTGGATGGCTATAATGTCTTCATTTTTGCATATGGACAAACTGGAACTGGGAAGACATTTACAATGGAAGGTACACCTGAAAATAGAGGAGTGAACTACAGGACTTTAGAGGAGTTGTTTCATATTTCCAAAGGTAGAACTAGTGTCATGAGATATGAGCTATTTGGTAGCATGTTGGAGGTTTACAATGAGAAGATAAAGGACCTTTTAGTTGAAAACTCTAACCAACCTTCTAAGAATGTTTTTTCTTGAATATTGGATTATGTATTAGTTTATTTTAGTTGGTATTTATAGTTTATTGACTTGTTTTGTTTGTTTGTGTAATTGTGTATTAATGATTATGTATTTGTTTATTTTGGTTGGTATTTGTAGTTTTGTGTTATCTATTATTGTTTGTTTATTTGTTATTTGTTTATTTTGGTTCCTATTTGTTTATATTCTAAATTGGATTGCATTTAGAGTAGTTGATTTAGGGGGTGTAAAGTAAAAAATTAAAATTGTAGGAATTTTGGTTTGTAACTGTCATAATTGAAAACTATTAGGGGTGAAAGTAAAAATTAAAATCTAGAGAGAGAAAAAATGGGTACCCGTGGGTCCACCCATACCCGTATAGGGTAGGGTACAGGTCTAATATTTTGGACCCGTATACCTTGACCTGTATTGGGCCCATACCAGTTTGGCCCGTACCCGTTTGGACCCGACCTGTACCCGACCCACCCGCCCATTTTGCCAAGTCTAGCTGTCAGCATAGCTCTCATTCGGGAAGAGGGTAAAGTTTAATGGCCAACATATTACGCGAGCAAGTGACTACTGGACGCCGAGATGTGGTATCCAGAAATGGAGCGATTAGTTTATGCCCTGCTGATCACCTCCAAAAAGTTACAACCCTACTTCCATGCCCACACAATCCATGTTCTGACCAACTACCCACTCAGAAAAGTTCTTCAAAAGTTGGAAGCTTCGGGTAAGTTACTCAAATGGGAAATAGAACTGAGTCAGTTTGATCTGTATTACAGACCAAAAGCAACCATCAAAGGTAGGCTGTTGCCAATTTCATTTCGGAATTCTCGTACCAGCCAAATTAAGAATCTGAGTAGCAAGCTAGCAAAGTCATCCAGGAAACTGTTCAGAACTTATCGACTTGGAGCCTCTATGTCGATGGTTCCTCAAACAGGAAAAGAGTCAAGGCAAGTCTTCTCCTCCTCAGTCTTGAGGGGACTCGCATCCATGGAATTCTTCGATTTAGGTTCCAAGCTATGAACAAGGAGGCCGAATATGAAGCGTTGCTCGCTGGACTGCAATTAGCGAGAGAAATGGGATCAAGCGCGATCAATATTCACAGTGATTCCCAGCTGGTTGTTAATCAGATCTTGGGAGAAAATCAAGCCAAGGAAGAGAACATGATCAGCTATCTGAAGAAAGCTAAGGCCGCACTCGAGTCTTTCAAGCACTTCACGATCAAGCAAAATCTAAGAGACAGTAACTCTGTCGCGGACGCCTTGGCAAGAATAGCCTCGTCGCTAGACTCAAATGTGCCGGAAGGTATTCCAGTTAGGTACATAGAGATTCTTAGTATTAGCTCGCCCGAGCAAACCATAGCTACAACAGAGTCAATTTCCTAGATGACTCCAATCATTCAATATCTCCGAGATGGGACTTTGCCCAGTGACAAGACTGAGGTAAAATTCCTGCACATCAGAGCTGCTCGTTACACGCTTGTCGGAGATCAATTGTACAAGTGAAGGTTTAACACCCATCTCCTTTGATGTGTAACTGACGAAGAAGTAGACTATATTATGAGGGAGATACATGAAGGGATCTACGGTAATCACACTGTCGCATAATCCCTCGCCAACAAAATTGTTTGCCAAGAGTACTATTGGCCTCTACTTCCAAAAGACACTTTCAATTTTGTGAAAAAGTGTGACAAGTGCTAGTGGTTCGCAAACATCCTGCGAGCTCCTTCCCACCAGCTCACAACAATGACTAGCCCTTGGTCATTCTCCATGTGGGGAATTGATCTTATGCCAGCCGGAAAAGGGGGCATCAAGTCTGATGTGTTCGCAGTAGATTACTTCACCAAATGGGCCAAGGCTGAACCATTTGCCGCGATCACTACAAAAAAGCTCAAAGACTTCGTCTTCAAGAATATAGTGTGCCACTACGGGATTCCTCATACACTCATCTCTGATAATGGGAAGCAGTTCGATAATGAGGAATTCAAACAGTTTTGCGATAAGCTGGGGATCCATAAAAAGTTCACCTCAATCGCAAGACAGCAAGCTAATGGTCAGGTTGAAGTTGTCAACAAAACTATCAAGTACACTTTAAAGGCCAAGCTTGGCGCTGATAAGGGTAATTGGGTCGTTGACCTCCCAGAAGTTCTATGGGCATATAGAACAATTCCGAGAATCTCTACTTCAAAAACGTCTTTCTCACTAGCATATGGCTGCGAGGCTATGATCCTAGTGGAATAAGGAACTGGTTCGCTCCGAAGAGACCTATTCAATGAAACAGGCAATGAAACACTTCTACGTGCAAATTTGGACCTAGTTGAAGAACATCGTGAGAAGGCTCAGTTAAGGATAGCATCCTACCAACAGCGTGTGAAAATGCTCTTAGGCTTTGAGGTTAAGAGAAGAGACTTTTAGGTCGGCAACCTGGTTCTTAAAGAAGTCATTCTCGGTACAAGGGAACTAAGTACGGGGGTATTGGGACCTAACGGGATGGTTCATACCGCATCGCCAAGGTAATACGACCAGGAACATATCACCTTAAGAGGCTTAATGGTTCCGAAGTACCGCAAGCCTGGAATGATGAACATCTTCACCCTTATTACCAGTAATTCTAAACTAGCTCTAAATTTTCCATTTCTTTTACTTGTAAAGTTTTCCTTGTAACCTTTATAAATAAGATCGTTCTTCTTTGTCTTAAACAAATATGTCTTGTATGATCTTGTTTGTTATGATGTTTTATAAGTTGCCTGTTCGGATATGTAACATTAGTCTTGTGGAGTACTCAAAATTATAAGTGCTATCACAAATGACTAAAAATACTTCTTTTATATATGTAATTTGAATAAGTACAGTGGGTAGCCAAAAAAGATAAGTAATAAAAAGAAAGAGTCAAAAGCAAAGTTGTGTAGAAGTAGAAAAAATGATCATTGGTCTCCACCTCCAGGCTCTGCATGTGTGACCTCTGTATCCCCCAATTGGTAGCCGACCATCCGATCAGCTGTTGGGTCCTCAGGGACGTATTCCTCCGATTGGTTATCCTCTAGAAGAGGTTATTGTCCCTCTTCCTCTTCCTCTTCCTCTTCAGCCTCATCACCAATTTGGGTCATGGAAGCAAGGATGTCCTGATATTTGATATGGAGGCCGGAGAGATCTATCCTCGGATTCCTTGGTTGCAAGTTGTAGATGGCATGAATCACCCAATCAGCGGCCTTTCTCTTGAGTTCAAGGTTCTGTCACTTCATCTGATCAGTCAATGAAGTGACCTGCCCTTGGGAAAGCTCGAGGTCCATTTCCAATGCTCTCTTCTACTTCTCAAAATTTTTCCACAGTCGAGCTCTCTCTTCCTCCACCTTCATGGCTCGTTCAGAGTTTACCTTTAGCTCTTTCTCTTCCTCGCCACACTCTTTGGTGAGTCTGGCCATTGTCTTTTGGAGCTTTTTGTTCTCTTCGCCTCTCTTCTCGACCTCAACCTTCTGGAACTCCACTATGCAGAGGGCAGAGTTCTCTCTATCAAGTATTGGTTCGCCTGGATGTGATATGCCTTTGCCTCTGTGTCCAGAGCTGCGAAGTCCATTTTCAGCTTGGCATTCTCATCCCTCAGCTCGTGGAGCCCTCCAGCAGAGTCAAGATTGGTCTTCTGTTAGGTCATATGCAAGGCAAGCAGAGGCTACATGAGAAAAGAAACAAGAGTTAACCTCCATTTTTTCGAAAGTCATAAAGGGTAAGAAAATATACTTATA